CAGTCTGGTCCCCTAGTGGTGGGGCTGACCAGGAGCAAATTTTCTCCCAGTTTGCATCTACATGTGCATTACTGCTCAATAACTACTCGCTAGCAAATTTTCTACGTGCATTTGCAGGTAGCAGATTTACTCATGAGCGGCATCATTTACTTCATAGTAAGCATATACACATGTAGACGCACATGCTTACTGCGTAGTAAACTATGCTACTGTGCAGTAAAGTGTCTCATGTAGATGCACCCAGAGTTAAGCTGTTCTAATTTTATATAGCAGAGGGCAGTGCATGTGTGCACACATGCAAACCCTGTTTCCCCCCACCAGGAGGATGTGCTAAATGCTGTCTTCCATTTGTTGTAAAAAAGAAAAAGGAAACAAAGTGTTGGCAGACTTGCACTTGTTGTTTGAGCCATTTTGTTGATGCAGGCACAAATGAAGCATGTTTGCTTTCTGAGGCAGGATACTCATTCCTTTAAGTAAAAGCAGTACTTTCTGCAAGTGTTTAGGATGATAAATTGACTGAAGGGCTGTACATGCCTGTATGGGAATGTAGGCTATGTCGGTAAATTGCACACACCTCTGTTTTAATAGGAACTTGACTTTCCTATTCAGTTAGGGAGTTGGGGAAGAAATCTTTTCATTCCTCCTTCCTCTGTTGTGCCCCAGCAAAGCCTAAGACAGGAAGTTTCCATATTCCTACTAAACATGGGTTTTGTAGTTTTGTAATCCCTCAGCTTTGTTTTATATAACTAGTCCTGAAGCCTCTGCATTCCTTTAAAAAGGGGGAGATTTGCAAACAGAAGGGCTCCAGAAATAGGGGAGAAACCACAGAATCCTCATTGCTATGTGTGCTCCAATGTAATTAATATTCACTATCTTTATTCATAAAGTATGAAGATAGAATAGTTAAAATATTCCATTTTTTTAAAACTTGCAAGCATTCTGGATCTCAGTAAAATAAAATTAGACCATGTTAACAATACTTCAAACATTTATTCACATGCTTAATGCAGAGAGCGCTTTCATTAACTGCAGTGGGATTGCTCACTGTAACAGGCCGCCTGTTAAGCCCTGTTGCAATGACGGGAGCTTGCATCTACTGTTGCTAAGGAATAGGTAAAATACCTGTATTGGGTGAAGACATTAAAGAAACCGAACACAAAATGGCCAAACCCTGGTGTCTTTAATTAACTTTGGAGGTCTGTGGTAGGAGCCCATGTGGGAATGAAGCCTGTCCTTATTGGCACTGGTCAATGAACCAGGAGTTAAAACCCACATGGGTCTGGAGGGTCATGGCCCCAGTGAGGGGATACACACAGGACCTCAGGCTCGTGCATACTGCACAGAAGCGCAGCAGATTCACTTGGCTCCCAGGCAGGGAGTTAGATGAATCTAATTAGAGGAAGGAGGAAAGAGAAACTTACCTCAAATGAAGATTCAGTGTGGGATCTCTGAATGTGGAGTGAAAGTGGCATTCCGGTGACTGTGGCAGTTGATGACTAATTTACCTAAGAAAAGAGAGAGTAATGCAAGCATTAGCAGGGGCAATCCTGTGAGGGCAGCTTCTGTTGACTTAGGCGGATGGTAAAATTCCCTGCAGCCATGTGTAGGAATAAACATTGTAAAAAGTGTATTAAAACAAAAATGCTTAACTGAATAATGACAATGGAAAGGAGATGTGGTATTGATAGAGACCCTGTGTATTGGGATCAGAATGGCTTGAGGAATAAGTAATGGTTTACCAAGCACAGTGCATGAGTCTGGGAAATTGTGGTATTTGACTTAAGCAAGATCTGGGATTGACATCTGTGTGACTAGTTAAGAGTAACTAGATGTCCTCTTGAATGTGTATAGACACTCCTGGGAGAAAGACTGACAAGTATTTCATCAGTAACCATCTGTCGTGTGGTACGCGTAGGGTGTAGGGGCAGGGGAGCCCTGTGATGTGGCTGGAAGTTACTATATGGTTTGAAGTGAGGCAGAAGATCACACCTCCCAATGTACTTTCTCTTTCTGCCATTTTGTTCTTACCATCAAAGGCACAGCAGTCAAGTACGGAAGGAGAACAGGTGGAGAACCAGGCAGAACAAGTCCAACCTCAATTATTAAAGATAGCTGTGAACTACCATACTCACATATAGAGTGTGTGCACACAGGACCAGATCTCATGAATCAAAAACTTGTACTGTTTAAACCAGGCTTGTCCAACATATGGCTCGTGGGCCGCCATGCGGCCTTCCAAGCTGTTTTCTGAGGCCCAAGGTGCTGCAACGGGAAACGAAAGTAAACACTGTACTTTCGTTTCATGGGGGTGATATGACACTGCTTCCTGTGAGGTCTTTGAATATGGCTCCCCGGCTCACTGGGTGATAAAAAGTTCATGATCCAGCCCCACATTCAAAAAGGTTGGACATCCCTGGTTTAAACTGAACAAAGTGAGATTAGTTTATGGAATACATTATTTTATGGAATACTTTGGTGACTTTTTTTAATTATTAGCTAATTGCATAACAACTGAAGAAATACAGGCTATGCTAGATTAGAATTCTTATATTATACTTCCATTTTTCTAAAGGCTTTTGTTAACTTTCGGTTGTAGGCCATGAGGGTTTCCTTAAATTTTGTGGTAAACTCTAATTTGAGGAAAAAAATGTTCAGGAATTGTAGCAAAATGTCTACACAATTAATTATGTTTTTCAAGTTTGCTTTGTTTGGCTTTTGGCAGGAAATCTTAGTCTGAGAATTGTTGGAACCTCTTCAATCAACATAAAAGTTCCAGCTACTTCATCCTTACTGAAATAAGAGGTTGCAACTCCTACGATGAAATTCTGGCCCTGTTGAAGTCATTCCGTTAATTTCAATGGGTTCAGCATTTAATCCCCATTATAGGTACAAGTTGTACTTGTATAACAAATTGATAAAGAACATATTAGGAGCTGCTACAATCTAAATTGCTACCTAGGCAAAATTCTGGATCTCCAGATTTGTTGTCCACCAAAGTTTGCTCTCAGATGTGTGTCCAAAGACTCTAAAAGAAACTGCTGTAAATGGTGAACATATAAGGAACATCAAATTCTGATTCTGAGAGAATAATGTTATTATAGATGTTACCTTTTCACTAGATCTTAAGCACAGTGTCCCAGATCCTGACCTGTGAATGAGAAGAGATCAGCATGGGTAAAGGGAAAGTTGACTTTCACCTTGGGAACTATCAGAATGTTGGTTTGGCATTTACTGTATATCACAGCCTGAAAATTGCTCTTATTTCAGGGACCAACAACCTTCCAGGATGTTTTGGCATGCTAAGTGTAAGGGACACGCTGGCTGCCTCCTTTATTTGAGCCATGTCTGCTATGATCCAGCTATGGTGGATGCTAGGATAGGCATCTGGGGATTCCGTTAGAAACAGTCCTCCATTGTGACTTAATAAGTGTAGGCAGAATCTGAGCCGATGAGTTAAACCTTTTAAATGATAAAGGTTTTACAACAAAGACATACCTGTTTAATTCTATTTTTTCTTTTGCCTGGCAGCAGGGAGGTTAAAGGAGGGTAGTGGTGATACTGGGTTGCTATTAGCTAACTAGTTTATAGTAGGCCTGTACAAAGTGGCTAGCATTCATTTCAGTTTCGGCCAATTTGGGGGACAGTGATTCAATTAGGTGATTCGAATCACTGTTCCAAAGTGATTTGGGAAAATCTGATTCAGAGATATGGCTGCAGCTGAATTGGCTGAATCTCCAAATCAGTCCCATCCCCTGTCTGCTCTCAATGGCTGCTCTGCCTGCTCTCCTAGCTGCCAGCTGTTTTAAAAAAAAAAAAGCCTGCATTCACCGGCTGCTGCCAGGCTGTGGGGGGGGGGGGGGGGCCCCCGCCCCCCCCCCGGGACTCTGCCACAGAGCCCCTGACCCTCCCCCGCTCTCCCAGCCCCCACCATGGCTGCCCTGCCTGCCCCAGCTCCTGGCCCTTTAAAAAAAAAGCCCCGCTCACCAGCTCCTGCGGAGGGGGGGCGGAGGCAATCCTCACTGCTCCCTACTTCCCCATGCTGCATGGGGGGGGCTCTGCCACAAGCTCCCTGAAGCCCCAAGGCTGCCACAGCACCCAGTGAGCGC